TCTCCAGTGCAACTAAGCTGCATTTCGAGCTAAGCGTGGATGCGCGGACCAAACTGAGGCATTCTAAATTTCCGCCATGACCGACAGCCGTCTTATTTATTGACGGGAACTCTGCGTTTTACCCCGTCCACCAGGAGTCGCTGTCGAATAATGGAACTAGATGGTGTGCCGACAAAAACCACTGCCATGACCAAGGCCTTCTATCACTCCACCATTACACGAGATCTTTTCAGTAACAATCTCTTCCAAACGCTCGAAATATGATCCGGTGTTTGATAAGGTTGCATACCGTCGTTCATCCTCTTCGATTACGCCTTTGACTGAATTGTCGGAAGGGTCCTACACAGTTTTGACGGTGTGGAGTATGCACTTAGACGCCGACTGACTGAAATTAACTACACGGGAAATATTGCCTTGTTAGGCTCAGGCTTTGGTGCTCTACAGTCTGTGAGGCCGCAAATGAATGTGATTGCTACTTCATTCAGCTTACCCCATAAACGCTGACAGCCCAACTTGTTTGTGAGCTGCATCTTCGACCAGGTGAACACCCTTCTGAGCATTACTGGCTGACAACTCGAAGGGGTAGACAGCTTTAAGTACCTCGGATGATGCTGCTACCGAATAGAGAGAATAAAGATCATATTGCTTTTCGAATCGAAGGTGCCCGCCGCGTTTTCTCAATCCTCCGAATACACTTATGAATCCGACGCGATATCTCGATCATCACGAAGGTCCGTGTGAACCGCCCATCTATCCGGTCAGTCCTCCTCTATGGGTATGAATGCTGGGCTCTGCGCGTTGAAGGTGACGGAAGACTGAAGTTATCTGACCACCGCTGCCTGAGGACCATTCTTCGAGTGAAATATACTGACTTAGTCTCAAATCAGACAGTTAGCACTTGCTACGACAGTATCGCGAGGATATCTTAGGCCATCCGAAAAAAAGGAATAAGGTAATTGAGGAACGTTCTTCGTCCTCCGCCTCACGGGCTTCGTTATGCTGCCTTCGATCCGATTCCGCAGGCCACCTGAAGGCGTCGAAGAAAAGGGCAATTAAAAACTTAACTCGACGCCGTCCGTGAAGACATGGAAGCAGTTGTTGAACCTTCGGCTTTCGGTCTCCGTGAATGGCGAAGAGAATGGGTGGAACTTACCCGATTCGTTGCCGCTAACCGTCACGCGTGGAGAGATACCACCAATGACATCACTGAAACCGGCTAGATCAGGCATAATCGCAGCTAAATCGAGTAGAATTAAGCACATGAATGTTACTTAGCCCACACGCAGTTCAATACGAGTCATACTTTCTATAAAAATCATCAGCCTGGCGAGATAAAATGCACTGATATTTGGTGGCAACTGCGGACAAATCATTCGAAGTTAAAGCAGCGAACCTAGAAACTGGATCCTCAAAGCCATCGCGATTTATGATTACTTGTATGCACCCTTTAGAGGAGTCAGCATGTATAACACTAGAAATGCAACAAAGTAGCCAAGAGTCTGTGTTGCGAACAAAAATCTGATGTTCGGGCAATAAGACTAACAAAATACAAAAAGATAGACAGGTAAATGCACAATGAGAGGGCAACGGTACACTAAGACTCTGCGCGTCGGATATGAAAATGTTCCCGTCTAGATGAGCACTCTGAAGACTATTACAAGTCAGAAAGGTAAAAAAGTAACGTTAGTCTTCATCTGAGCTGAATACTTCGCGTGTAACGTGTTGCCGCGTGCGAGCTCTGGTAGAACGTAATGCGGGTCTTTCGGCCGCGTCGTCTTCATCATCCGACGGACGTTTGGAAGAAGCGGTGTCCTCCTGTTCTTCGGAGGTGCGACGACCATGGTGGCGACGGCGAGTGCTTTTTCGCCCATCAGTAGCATTAGACGTTTTGCGGCGCCCCTGCTTGGCCGCCTGTTTAGCCATGATTTCAGCCCTTCGGACTGCCTCCTCATCAGCGACTCCTTTTTGGTGAAACTGAGTAAAGTAAACCAAAGACGCATTAATCCTTGGCAAGGTTGAACAGACTGCATTAGTGATGTCTTAAAGTTCTGCATGTTTTCACAGAAAGACTAATCGAAAGTTGTTTTACACGTACAGCAGGCTGAAATGATGAGAGCGGTTTTCTTGCACTGCTCCGAGACTTAGGAATACTTGAGAAACTGTACACTTGGATCTCTAGCAGCAAATACGATCGCTATTTTTGTTTTGAATTTGCCAGGCAAGAAATATATACATACACAACTTTTTACATGATAAGACTGCATGAAGGACTACGCAAAATAGGTAGTTATTACTTAGAGCGAAGTGGCATTTTGTCATTCAAAACAGTATCTAGATGAGACAACGCTGGGACAAAACTTTTATCCGCGATTGAATCTTCTTCGTAATTACTTCCTGGAACTTGCATGTTCGCATGTATCGACAGTATCTAAACGTCTACGTAGCAATGAAAATAATCTATCTCAAATAACTGATGAGATGGCAACCGAAAACTAAACGACTCGTGCAAATATAATTGTTAGAATATAAGACTGAGACGAAAGAAAGCATAGAACACTGACTTCATTGATCTTGGCCTCAAAGTCGTCGAGCTGGGGGAGAAAATCCGGTTTTGCTGACTTTCGGGCACTCGAGATAATCTCCGTAAACGCGCCATAAACGTCGATAATGGAGAGTTGTTGGGCAAAAATCGGTAAATTCTCCTGCAGTGTGCGCACCATGCGTTCGTTGTAGGACATCACAGAGAGGCAGTAGGCAAGGTCACGCCACTGCCTTTCAGTCCTGAAAGTCGGCAGAGATAAGCGAACCAAACATGAGAACTTAGGTAACATAGGAAGGAGTAGAACGTTAAAATAAATGTAGAAGCAAGGCAATTTTAACCGACTGACAAAAATTGTACTTCCATCCTT